TAAAGCAATCATCAGGAGAAATGCCTTGAAATCTTTTGGTCATAGGAAAATTGAGAGATGGATAGGCAGCGTGACAAAGCAAAGAGAGGAAGAGATAGCTGGAGGATTTAAAAGAATAAACAAACCAACACCAAGATCCACCTGCAAATGGCATCCATCTATAAAAAACTCATCAACAGTAAGAGTAAAATAAACAACATATTTATAATTTACAAAGCATTTCCATATGTATTAATAAGCAATGAGCAATGATAAGATATGGTCCCAGATTTTTGACCTTCTTACTAAAAGAGAAATTGTTGCTTGGAATTCTTTTTGATTTTGTTCTGTTCCCCAATTCCATTCCATTATCTCAGATTACCTCTCTACAGCCCCCTGCAGGCAGCTACTGAATCCTAAATCATCCTAGTACAATTCCAAATTGTACAACAGGATTGCAAATACTGTTATTTTAATCTGGATTAGAATGAAATCCAATAGGAGATAAAGAAGAATGTGGTAGAGTGCTCCTGGGAATTTGGACCTGATATGCTGCAATAGATCTTCTTGCCATCTCTAGTTTCTGTGATTCTATGACACTATCCATGGCAAGTAATTTGTGCTTGTCACATACAGCAGGCAAGGCTAATAGTCCAGAAAGAAACTACAGGCAGTGTTTCTGAATCTCATCGAGAGGACAATACCTAGTGAAAGCTCAGAACAATGTAAAATAAATTTCTCTCTGTGTTTACCTTGAAGTTGAACCTCACTGTCAGTTTCAATTACCTTATTGAACATAATAAAATCAGACTGAGACATTTTAAATCAGAATTTGTAAAACTTAGGACACAGCACAATCCTATTTGTTTTCAGTGAATAGACATTTGTAACCAAACAAACAAATGGAGTATGCAAGTCTGCAGGAGGGATATATGAATGGGCACAGATCACACATTGTTATCTGTAAGTTAAATTTAGTCAGTTTCCATGCCTTCAACATTTGACATTTATTGAGCATGTGCTACATGAAATACATCATTAATTCATTTGGAATTATAACTTGAAAACTGATAAAACTAAATTTTCTTAAAATATGTATTTTATATTATTCATTAATTCAAGCAGTCCTTTATTAAAACAAATTCTAACTGTATACCTAAAATCTTACATCTTTCCTTTTGTGCCTGTAATTTTAGAAACCCCAGTTAAAATATGTGGCCTAAGAAATTTAAAGTATTTTCTATATTTTGAAATATGTTTAATTTCTAAGATCTATGAAAATGACACACTATGTACTCTGAAATAGCAAAGTGAATTCCAGACATCATATCCAGAACTTACAACTTGCAGAAAAGTAGTTAACTAGCTTTGTTTTGCTCAGTGAATTAAAACCAACACCCCATTCTTTATTACCTTTTCCAGGGAACTATTCTCACCCTACCTTCTCAAGGTTTGGGGCAAGTATGTAGTTAGAATAGAGTTCAAAATGAATCGTAGACAGAAAGAGGCATGACTTATTTGGAGCTAGTGTATGCTAATAATGACAATCACTTCCTTACAGATTATAAGTAGTAGATTTAAAAATATCTAGAATAATCTGGTATATAATTTAGAGAAATGGCTCTTAGGGAAGATTCAATGATTACTTTTTCAATGTCTTTGTAAGATCCCAAAATATTTCCCAGACAATGCATGGAGTAAATATATCTTTTCACAAGGACATTGTGTGGCCTAATCCAAATCTTGGTTCTTGGATACACTATGAATTAATCCATGAAATTCTGAAGGAGTAAATCCAACTTTTAGACTGGCACAGAAGGAACTTTATCTTTAAGGGTCTTTGGTGATGAAAGGCATACCTGGGTCATACTCCGCTAGAGAAAGACAGGAGATACTATTGACTTCTTTCACCACCATGGGAAGCTTGGGATGAGCGACATGTCTAGGCTCCAGGAATTAGAGTCTGTAAGATTAGTCTTGCTCTGGGAATGCGCTATTCTAATTCTGCTCAGGCAGTTTGGGTGGTAATAGTGAAAACATTCCAACTTTGAGTTCAGGATTCCAAGCTGGAGAGAATCCAGTCCAATACCTTTTATGTAACCATTCTCCACCCTCAGTTTTTATGCATATGTGAGAAAGCTGTATCTTCAAATAATAAGATGATAACTTATATTTGACTTCAAAACATGTTCTGTAGTTGATATTTTTGTTCTGTTCTTGGCAACATCAGCAGACTTGTTTTCCTAATTGGTTTGAACCTCTTGATGTTACAAGCAACATTCTCTGAGCATACACACACATAATGCTTACTTTTCACCAGTTGGGTAGGGAGAATGCCCAGAAACATATGTGGGCCATGATTCTGAAGTCAATTCATAAACGAGATCATCTGGGTCAATAGAGAGCCCACTGTTGATATCACGCATTGCTTAGAGCCAAGTAATCACATTAGCTCATTCCTATCCTTTAAATATATGCAGCCTCAGTAATTACTTATTCAACTAAGTCTATTCAACACAGTTCATTTTTTTTTAATCCAGGATTACTTTCTTACTGTTTATGCCAATTCAATTAACGAGATAATTGCCAGGTAGCTCTAAGCTGTTATACGGGTGGTGTCATTTTCAGGCTTGGAAATATTTGGGACCCCAGGCGGCAGCGTAGGCCATTCCTCCTGCCCCTTTACAGATGGAATGGCAAACATCCTCCCCACTTTGCCCCTCCCCATGACACCTGGGTAGCCCTGTCCTCCAAATAGGCCCCCTGGCCACCCCCAGGCCTCTGCTCACCTATCTTCTCCTCGGCTTGGCTGCTCTCCTCAGTCTCCGTCGGGGGCTGGGCTGTTCCCTTGGTGGCAGCATCCTCGGCAGAAGGGGTGGCGGCAGCAGCAGTGACAGCAGCAGGCACATCGGCTTGTTTAGGCTCCTCCTTGGCAGGGCCATCTTCGGCCTTGGAGGACGGCGAGTTGTCAGTGGAAGCTTTAGTGGCACTTTCTGTCTCAGCAGAACCGGCCTTCTCCTCCGAAGGGGCAGCGGCCTGAGGGGCCGCCTTTTCAGTGGCAGCATCCGGGGCTCCCTCCCCTTTCTTCTCCTCAGAAGGAATTTCTCCTTCCTTGCCGGTCTCCTCGGGCTTGGGGCCGGTGGCTGGGGCCGCTTCAGTGGTGGCCTGGCCATCCTCTTTCTTCTCCACCCCATCCGCAAGGGGGGCTTCAGCCTTCTTCTCATTGGCTTCAGCCTCAGCAGTTTGGGCATCACCCTTCTTCTCTCCTTTGAGCTTTTTCCTTGTTATATGTCCACGGAAGCTCGCCTGAATTTTAGTGGCGGCCTTATGAGCTTTATCTTCTGGTTTGATACCATCTTGTTCGATCTTTTGGTCCTCATCGTTTTTTTCAACCTTAGTAGAGAAAAGGAGACATTAGTATGATGTTCTTTTCTTTCAGGTCACAGCAGTCAACAAATATTTATTATAATCATTTATTCTGAGTGCTGTACCCGCTCATGAAGTTAAGAAATCAAATACCCTGGCAATTCAAATCCAGTCTCTTCCCAGTCCATAACAGAATTGAGCAGTGCTCACATTGTTTTATGGGGAGAAAGTGTGTCCTTGTGGCCTTTCAGAGTTACCGGCATTATTTTGTATGTATTTCTCTCCCCCAGCACAAGGTTTTTCCACTGCCAAACCTTGACCAAGTCTCTATTTAGATGTAACTTGACAATTTTACCTGAACTCTTAAGTTTTAATCAAAGTGATATTAAAAGACATTGGTTTTTCAATGTTTCTGAAAGGAATGCTGCAATATTTTATGATCTAATAAATAGCCTGGAAAAGCCTATTTGTTTCCCCCAGATTTCAGTTCTGATTAGGAAACAAATAATTAAGGGCAACAAATATAGCAAAGATCTACACAACAAATTCCATCTGCGTTTTGTGCAAAATGCAAATCCCTTCCAAGGCTTTGGTTGAGATGTTTGTTCAGAATGAGACAATTCAGCATGCTGGTCACAAAAATGACATCTACTCTGCCCTGAGTGTGGGTCATCATCTGCAATAACCATAACAGCCCCTCAAAATGTAAATTCTGAAAATGGACAGTATTCTTGAGTTTAAAAAAAAGAAAGAATGGAAAAACTATTTCCACTTTTGGAAGAGTGGCATATATTCACTAAATCACAATTGCTTATCCTCCAACCAATTGATATCTTTATTTTACTATCATCAAAATACTAGCTACCCTGGCACCAACAGAAGAGGCTAGAATACAAAATTTTTACCATTTGATTACAACATTTGGTGTGCCAGTGCAGTTACTGATAGACTTCCTTCCTTCCTTCAACTTCTGTAAATACTTCTTTTAATACTGGGGAAATATAGCAGTGAATGAAGCAGCCACTTTCCTTCAAAAGACCCATAACTATAAAAGTGTTTTACCATGTACTCGGTTCTACATTTGACCCCAGCTATGACCTTTGTCTGAACATGGCTTTTATGTCAACATAGGAGGTACCTCCAGCAGGCCAAGACATAATATACTTTCTACCTGTCAGACCACTCTGTCCCCATGACCCAGACCCTGCTAGTCATGATGCAGGCTGTTTGATTTTCTTTGCAAAAATATATGGTCTGTTGCTACTTTGGTCTATCAACATACTAGTGAATGTACAAAAAGTATTTTTTTAAATAAACTGCATGTGAAACTGAAAGCAAGACTGACAATTTTCTGGTAAAATTCAAGACAAGTCTTTTTCAGCTAATTGTGCATGTATTGATACAAACAATAGAGGAATTTCATTGTTCATCCAAGGAAAAGCCCTCTGGAGATGGGTGTCCTGTCCCTGCCCCTAGTGCCATTGGGCCACTCTGCTCAGTTCTCTGAAGCACCACCAGCTTCCTGTCCTGCCCCCCTGCTGCTATTGATGCCTCCTACTGGGATACATGCAGCTCAGTCTGGGCCATGGAGCGGCTGTCCCTCCCAGCAGCTCTGCTCAGAGATGGAAGCATAAACCTGTTACATTCACAGTTGTAAATGAAGCATGGAGCCAAATATTCTTCATTTACTTTACTCTATTTTGAGTTTTCTGAATGAGGCACCATCTTGTGCGATAGGACATCTGTACTTGAGTGCTCATGCCAAGTGGTTCTTTAATACAAAAACTGCTCCTTGCGAAAGCAGACAAACCAATTATTTCAGATTGGGCAGGTATACAGAAAAGGCCCTCTAGTGACTCAAAAAAGTGACAATTTTAAGCATACATTTTCCTTAAGAACATAAAACAGAGGAGAGCACATTCTTAAGCTGACAATTATAAAAAGAAGGAAACTGGCAGTCTGATGACATAATGAGAGAAACTTTAATTGGACAAAGGAGAGGTTGTTCAATTCTTTACTCCTCTCCACCCCCAAATTCTCTCTCTCTCTTGCAATTTCTCAGATCATCTGCAATGTAAACTTTCCAAATGATCAGAACTTAAGCACCTGTGTACAGCATGTATGTCAAAATGACTATATAGGCTCAGACGACTTAGTTGCCAAGACTGTGGGATCAACCTCACCTGAATAACCCAGGAGTATAAGACACAGAGAGGAAGAGGTGAGAAGAATGGCACGGGCACGTGAGTGACCAGAATTAAGAGAGGGAAATAAAATACAATCTGAGAACAATGAGGTGCCCATATATATGGATATATACAAAAAAATGTTCAAAGTAGTCCTTGACACACACTCCTCCAGGAAGTAGTGATGGACTACTTAGCAACATTAACATTTCAGGGAACCTGGATTTTAGAGTAGGGTTGGAAGAAGACAACTAATGTAAATTTTTCAGATTGGCAGAGGAAAGAGAAAGAAAAGAAAGGGGAAAGGGAAAGCAAGTGTTGAGAGAAGGAAAATGGAAAAAAAGGGGAAATAGGGAGAGAAAGAGGGGGAAGAGTAGAAGAATAAGAGAGGAGGAAACTAGCCTAAGACGAAGCTAGACTAAGGTAACTGAGCAGAAATATCAAAGCAAAAATATTTTAAGATAAAACTGGGAATTAAGTCAGACAGTGTCAGATTGTATATGTGTGTCTTTCTTTTTTACCTGTAATTGAGTCTATCAACATGGCTCAAACTACAGGTTATTTTGTGGTAAAACTCCTTTTTGAGTGCTAAAAGTAATTGGACTGGGAGTATATTTTGCTGAGACACAAGACAAAGAAGATGAAAACATTTTCCAAGACAGACGGCAGGACTAACACCAAGATGTCAGGCTGCAAAGAATTTTCCCAAGTGTGAATAAAAAGAGCTTACCTAAGACAAGAGACACTAGAGCTCAGACAAAACAGAATCATTTCATACATTCAGCACAATCCTCTCAGCTTCTAAAATGGGTAACTGTGTCCCAAAAGTTTAGGCAACTTGCCTAAATTCAGATACAGTCAGTCAGTGACCTAACTGGTAGTTGAATTCAGGTTTTTCATCCCTCCTACCATTCCCCGGGTCCAATTTTAGTGCAGTAATAACCTGGAATAGCTTCACATTTTGTATCAGATAATCCATAGATCATCATGCCAACATTCTCTTTCCTTTACTCATATAACAAAGTGACTACTCTAATGTACTACAGTTACATTAGAAGCAAAAAGATACTCCCCATTCAGAATTTTCATAGTACTTTGACAATAATTTCCCAGAAGTTCAGGCTAGATACTGATCTTACACCCATTTTGTAAGGCAAAGTCAGAGTCTGGAGAACCAGGAAAAAAAAAAGGAAACTGGTTTTAATGGATATCTCATTAAGATATTTATTTACATTTATATTTTTAGACTCAGCTTTGCCACAAATGACCTTTGTAGTGCACACCAATGTCTGCTAAGGGAGTTTTAAAAGTCGTTTTTGTTTTTTTTTTTTTTTAAAGATTTTTATTTATTTATTCATATAGAACTGAGGTACAGGCCAGAGATGTGGAGGGTGAGAGGGTTCACCAGAGACAGAGTAGGGAGCAGAGCAGGCAGATCAACAAAGCACACTACTGAGGGGAGCAGCAGGTGGGTCAGGAGAGGTCTGCCACGCCATGTGGTCACCTCCAGGGCAGGCGGGGATCGAACTCATGCGGAAGTGGCTTTCAATTCTTAGTGCTGTGCTTTAACCCGCTGTGCCACCAGGGAGGGCCCTAAAAGTCGTTTTTACATGGGATTTTTTTCTGTCTGAGAATTGACTGAGAGGACATTTCAATACAGTGTATGTAAACAAGAATATTAGTATGGTTTATCATTCCTGTTTAAGTAAACGTCATTGTTATTACTTTATATAGTTATTAATCAATTGACTGGGTACTCTTACTTTATTAAGTCTTAAAGTAAACCAAAATATGTTAAGTCTTTACTTCTCAAGCAAACACTGAAATCTTAGCTGAATACTGATCCTGATGGAGAGTACCATTATACTAACTTGCTGGGATCTGGTCAAATATCTAAACCCATGAGGTAAAAGGACAAACATTGTCATCACCACTGAAGAGTCACAGGTAAGAAAACTAAAGATAAGAAGTACTTAATACCCAACATTATTGCTATGAGAAATAATTTCCTTTTCTTCCAAGAAGCAGGAAAGTAAAAAGCTTAGAATTCATTCTAAAGATGTCCAAACACTGCATTCACTGTAACCAAAGAGATTTGGGCACACATCTAAAGATGCCTAACTTTCAAACCTAAAATAGTATCATTTCAACTGAGATATTGCCATTCAGTTAACTTTTTCAAGTGACTATAGGAATACCTCAACCTTCCAAGAACAGAAAAACTTGAAACTGTAGCCACTCTACCAGCTATAGATGCACATTATAATACTTTAATCTTTAAAAAGCAAGATTGAGTTTTAAATGTTGAAAAAAAAAATGAAGCACATCAATTCTTCCTTTTATAGACACTGCTAGTAAACCAACATGTTGTCAATTTTTATTGAGCCAAAGATAGTTCTGAAAAACAAAACTAAGGGGCCAGATATATCCAAAGAAAAGTTTCCACTAACATGGTACAGTTTTCACGCCTATCAGAATCTTACACAGTCCATAAAGGCATCAGAGTAAAATATTGATGAATATATATGAAATATGACAAATACCCACTTATGCCTCACAGTGTTTTTTCTTAATTTATTGAGGTGAAATTCACATGAGGAAATTTCATTCTATTTTTGATCACAGTTGATTTTAAGCACCACTGAGCATATACTTTAGGGAAACAGTCTAGTTATGAAAGGAGTTCACCATGGTGCTCAGGTACTTTATTTGAACTTAGTTGAAGATCTGAAGTCTAGTGAGATGCCCTTATGGAGGAGAAGGCAGAGGATGGACCAACCTCAAAGGGCCAAGATGAAGTGCCTTCAGGTTTCTGCATATCTATAAAGAACAATGTGTCAT